AGCTCAATCTTAAATTTACAACATAAGATTCAGCTTGTATTTTTCTAAACAATAGATATGACATCAATATATTCCTTTTTTTCATTAAATTTTTGGTTAGGATATTCTTTTCTAATAATTTGATCTAGATAATTTTTAGTTGGGTGGTTACAAAATCACAAGAAAGTTAAAAAAAATTAATTTACCTCTTCCTTGACTACAACTTGGCTTCTAAGTGAAATGCATTCCTTTGCAAGATCAGCTCGATCCCACAATAGTGTTAACTTTAACTGACTATACAGTGACAATTCATTTCCTTTACCTAGTAAGACCAAAATTTTAAATGACATGAAAATAAAAAGGTAACAAAAAAAGGCCTAAACTGCTAAGTAAGCTTTATTGTTAAAACTTTTAATAAAAAACTCTATAAAGGACTGTCCATAAATAACATCACGCTATAGGGAGGTGGAAGAAGGGGTTAGTAGTTTGTAATGACTTGTACAAGACTTGTTACTAAAGAGTTACCATGTTGTAACAAGGTAGGGGGTGGTTTGAAGGAGATCAAAAAAAAATTGCATGATGTAGTTTATGGATGATACTAACATCTACCTCAAAAGTAACAAGATACTGAGATTTAACTTAGCAATCAAAAATAGTCTAGAAAAAGTTTAACAAAATAGCAAATAGTAATTAAATAATAATAAATAAAATAAGCATTGAAAAAAATTAAAATAAATTTTTTTTTATTTACCTTGATTTCCTTTCAAAAGGGCTTTTAAAATTGCCTCATCTACCCCTCTTTTTTCAGACATTCGAAATAATGTGATCTAATTATTATAATTTAAAGTTAAAATAGATTAAATTCCAAATAAATGGAGGTAACAACAAATATATATTATATAAAGAAAAACATTTAAAAACATACAAACTCTTTTTTGCTCATGCATTCCAAAACCTCTTTATAAGCTGATACTTGTTTTTCTTTTGTGTTAAGCTCAGGAAGATATTCTGGAATTTTTTCTAGTAATAGTTCGTTAATATTTTTCTCATTAAATATGCAGCTGAGGTTGTTTAAACTATAGGCATAAGCTAACAAATCTGCAGCACGACCACTATCAACAATAATTAGTACAGATAAAGCAGGGCTTTTAGAAATAGCCTCACGAACTGTGCTTAGTGAACCTGGACCACCCTCCACAACCATTAGAACTGATGGAACTCCAGCTAAAAAAAAATTATTAAATTCATATTAAGAAAAAGGTTAACTATTAGTGTATATTATGTTTTCTAGATATGTATGTGACAAAAAGTCAATAAAAATGACCTTTTAATTATTCATCTTTTAAAATAATTGTAGAAAACTAAAATATTTAGAAAACTACATAATGCAAACTTTTAATGTCAATTTCATTAAAAATAAGAAAAGTCTACTTGTTTTCTCCATGCAACACGATGCTTGTTAGGTGTCAAAAATTAGAAAAACAAAGTGGCAATTACTTTTAGTTTACCCTCCAAAAAAGGACTGGAATTTTAAAAATGTTTAATTATAAAATAAAAAGTCGCAAAAAAATTTGAAAAAAATTTTGATTTAAAATCATTTAGAGAATTATTATGAAGGAATAAGGAAGCCAACTTTATGCTATAAAAAAACAAACAAACAAAAAAATATAACTCCTTTACAACAACTTGTGACTCATCCAGAATGTAAAAGGTTATTAAAAATTATAAGAATTCTGATTGAGAACAACTTCACATGTAATAATGACTCAGAAAACCAAAAGTTCATGTTTGGCTCATTACTTAATAAATACGTTTTAATAAAATTTAAGTTAGACAAAGTGAAATGGGTTTCAACTGAGAACAACAATACCATTAAGTACCAGGTATTTATTTTCCTTTAGTAACCATTAAATCAAAAAAAATAATATCAACAAAATATTATTAATATTTGCTAACAGATAGATAACTAGATTGATACAAAAACAATCATGATTATCATAATAATATTTGTAAAAATAATAATAATATAGTAACTATAATATACAAATAATAATACTTTATAATAATAAGTTAATGATTGATAAGGATGAAGCCATTCATGCAAAAGTCTGATTAACAGAGTGACACCAATAAAAAACTCAACAAAAGTATAATCTTATAACTCATTCAGAAACTTCACAGCAATGATAAATATTTTAGACTGATTTAGGATCATCAATCTATGATAAATCAAAAATTGGCTGCAACTACAAAACTACATATTGAAACTTCTGAAAAAATTTTTAAACAAAAAGTGGACATTGATGGCTTGACTTCCAATAATATTGACCAACTAGAAATTTGGATTAAATATTACTATATTATACTATATAATATAGTATATATATACTATATTACATTATACTATAGTAGTCCAGTTGAGTTAGATTATTTGTATGAAAATATTTAAAAAAGCATGTGAAAAACCTTTTATCTTTAAATATATACTTATTATATATCTTTATTAACCATTTTTTATCCTGAATTTTTAAATAACACATGAAAATATGGTCTTAAAATAAACATGGAATAAAAAATAAAAATAAATAAAAAAAAATGAAAAAAAAAAAAAAAAAAAAGTAACTAGTCATTTAATAAATAAAAATCAGGAGACATTTGAATTCTTTTTTTGTTTTTATTGCCATAAAAGTTCATTTTATTACTTTCCTCATCGTCGTCATTGATGCAGAAAATAAAATCAATAAATTTAATTATTTGTGAAAATATTTGTTGTGGTTTTAAAAGTAAAAAGTAGTGAAATTGCTATTGTTACAAATAAAAATTTTAAACAACATTTATGAAATTTTGGATGATATTTTCTAAGCAATTCTTAAGCATCCATTTATTTCAAAAACATGCATTGCAATTACATCTAATGACCTTTATAAGTGCTTCTGGCATAATATATTTATAAGGTATTCAAGGTGTGATAAATCCGTCATGCAGCTTCCAGCCTTATTTATTTAATAATGTATCTTTTTTACAGTAATTGATTTAAAATGCATTTTCAGTTCTACAACAAAATCAAAAAAGTAATTCATTTACTCCTATAAAATGCCATTATTCAGTGCAAAGACTTTTTTGCTGCTGCCTCTAAAAGCCTAACTTTGTTTACTCAAAAACAATACCGCTTTTTAAATTTAATTTTTAAGTTTAATCTTAAACTCTAGAATTGACCATTTATATGCTGATTTAAGATGTTCCTTTGAAGATTAATGTTCAGATAACCATATACCTGTATGTGCATAATCAGAAAATCCAATTGAAATTAAGTTTATTGAAATTATATTTATTGATAAAAACATGGATATCTTTAATATTTTTGGTGACTGCTCTACCATAAACATCTGTTGTTTGCTGTTGATTTCAACAGGCCAAGTTGCAGGATCTAATATATCAATTTAATTTTGATAAAGTACTGTTCTCTATTTGTGAATTATTATTAACTTCTGAAATATTGTCAGATATAAAATTCTCAATCGTTAATGCTATTGGATCCTGATTCACCATCTACATTCTCATTCCGGTTATTGATGTTTTGAAGTTGTGGCTCGTTCATATGTTCTTTAAATTATTGTTTTCAAGTTGAGATTTATCATTTAAACTACATATTTTGAATCAAGTAGTTTTCAAAACTGACAAATTTTTTTGCCTCTTTAAAAAAATTCATCGAATTAATTATTTAATTTTGCTACTTGAACCTGTTTTGCTATTTTTTTGTGCTATTTTTTTGTGCATAACATTTTTTCAACATTTGAGGTAACTAAGTGTTGTACTTAATGTAAACTAATTGTTGTATAAATGTAAATTAAAGGCCAAGTGAGTTTTAAAATGTTACCAAAATGATTAATGTAAGTTAAAAAAAAATAATTTAAATTAATTGTTGTATAAATGTAAAATAAAGGATAAGTGAGTTTTAAAATGTTATCAAAATAATTTGAAAAATAAAAAAATTTGAAGCAATAAAACAACAAAATTATTATATATAAACATTTTTTAAATGAAATTGTTACCAAATTTATCATATTTTATTGTTTCTATTCAATTGATTTTAAGATTTAGCAAAATTATATTCTCAATTGAAATTGATTTTGTATGCAAATGAAAAGTAACTTAGTACTAAGAGTTTCTTAAGACTTTAGCTTAGTTTTTTTATTAGAAAAATATGTTTTTAATATTTTGGGCCTCTTAAATATAAGGGACCCAGTGCAGTTGCACTTGTTGTACTTGTGATAGTACAACTCTGTTTCCATGTACCATTTCAAAAAAGGGCCCAGAAATAGGGTTCTCCTATTGTAATTCAAGGACCTTTTTAAGATGATCTATACTTTAGTGCATCACTGTGAAAAAATATTTTATTTATTAAAAATAATTTTTTTTTATTTTTCTTAGATTATTGCATAAAAAATAGATGACAAGGTCTTAATAATATAAAAATTTTTTTTTTTTGAATACTATGACTATGGCTACACTACACTAGTTAAATAAATTTAAGTTAAATGCTTTTATTTATTGGCAAACACTTGTACTCTTAACCCCTTAATCTCAAAACTAACTTAAAAAAAAAACAAAAAAAAATCAGTGAAAATTGGCCTTAAAAATTAGAAATTAATTATATTAGTCACCAATAAAAACAAAAACTTTCAGTGTAAACAGGCTTTAATAATTATCGACCTAGTAAATTTTGATGTGTCGAAAATGAGCTTTTGGCTTATTTATGATAACTGTTAGATAACATGCATTTAACCAAGCTAGAATTAAACAGTTTTATGCTTGTTTTGTAAAAAAGATTTTGTAAAAAAGAATACACTATAAACTATTAATACAAACCTCCATTTATTCAATTTTAAAAAAATTCCCCTCTTTCATTGCTGCCCCCCCTGCTTGTATTAAGGACTCAAAAGTAGCTTTTGCAATTATTTCTCATTATTAAATAAATTAATTTTGAAATAATTTTAATGGGTAATTTTGAATTTTTATTTTTTAATTATATCCTGAAGTATTTATGATATTTCTACTAAAATTCTTTTTTCTTTTTTAAAAAAAATCACTTTTTTCTTCTTTTTAAAACATTCCTATTTTATAGTGAATCAAACTTTTTTTCCAAAAATGGAAAATGTTTTAAGAAAAACCTGTTGAAACAGTTTTCTAATTTGCAAATATTTGTTTTTCTTTGTGTGGTTTGTAATCAACAAGCAAATGGTGATATTCAATACCTCTATACATGATTTTTTGTACCATCTATGAATTGTACAAAGCGCAATTAAGCCATTAAAATCATAATTTTTTTTTGACATTGTAAAAAATGGCTACATTTTTAAGTAAATATATATATACTGTTTTTAATGAAACAAAATATTTATTTGGATAAATTGAAAATACGCTATTGTAATGAAAAACAACCTTTCAATAAAAAACTAAACTAATTTCACAAATAATTAGGGAGATAATTAAAAAATAAAAACACAACATTCTTTTTGAGACAAAAATTATATTAAAAAAAAAAAATGTTGTGCAAATTTTTAACAATATAAGCTAAAAAACTGTTATTATTGTTTTTTCATTTTTCATTTTACCATTAAACTGAATAATAAAAAATAGTAACTAAGAATAACTTTTAAGTCTGCAGAGTGACATATAGTATTTACAAAACCAAAACCAAAATGCTATTATTGTGAAAAAACAAAGTAAAACTACAAAGATTTACAAACTTCTTCTACCCTTAACTCAAGTGAATAGTTTTACATCAGACATACCTGACGATGACTTAAAATCAGACATCCCTGACGATGACTAAAAATCATCCCTGACAAATGAGATGACTCAAAATAAGAGTAGGTGAATATACAAAGTACTTCTTTTTTTTGATAAAGACACAACAGTACCAAAATTTGACTATTTTATTCTGTAACAGTTTAGTGCTATGGCTTTCATTTATTTACCTATTTTATGTTTTCTATTTAACTTTTATATTTTTACATAATAAATTTTAACAATTGTTTTAAAAATCTTTTATAATTTCTTTAAAATTTTAATTAATTTAATCAAATAATTTAAATAGTTTTAGTATTTGTAAACAGAAACTTTTAAGTTTAATTTGCTTGAGTATTAACCTGAAATAAGAATTATAAAACAGTAAAAGGAAATACTTTTCATAATATATTCTTCTAGTCTTGATCTTAAAGGTATTTCTACACCAAAGCGTCCAACAGAACCATCATCAACTAATAAATGGTGAGTATGATTATGGTCTAAAAATGCTCCTGGTTGCACTAAACTGCAAGCAACTTGATATTCTGTATTGGCACTGTATAATTTGCTACTATATGTTTGAGTGTTATCAAGGTTTATCAATTTTTTTGCATTTGTAACAATCCCCCATGTTGCAATCCCTATACATGCTTTAGAAGATCCATGCAATGCTTCACCAACATGTTTCATGACACCAGTGTTTGTTCCACCAGTTATAACCCAAGCTCCAGGTGTTTTTGCAACCTACAATAATAGCAGAAACTATATCAAAGAATATATTGTTTTATTTTTAAATTTTTTTTGCTTTGTTCAGTTTTTTTACTATAACAATTGTTATATTATATTATGTAACTACTTTTTTTATTTATAAATGAAAAATTTTGCAAAATAATTATTATGAAGTTAATACAAAAAAAGTTTAAATGACCTGAATCTTAATTGACCAATGTCAGCCTATTGTTTCTAAACTTTGTTTAAAAATGTTTTAAAATTTACTTATAAGCAGTTGTTGGCTCTAGCCAAAAATATATATATTAGTATAAAAGAAGACTTCCTGGTTTAATGCTTCCCCACGGTACTCTGTGATAAGACGGTTAGGTCTTCTCACAAAGCAAAAAAAGAACCAACTTAATAACAGAAAAAGAAAACAAAACAAAATATAATTATAATAAAAAAAGCTGGCCTACTTATAGAATTTGCTTCCCTAGTGATTAATACTTTTTAAATTAAAGAAAACGGAAAATCCTTTTTGAGAAAGTATAAAATTTAAAAACTAAGATTTTTATAACTTGAAAATTAGAATTTCATTAAAAATCACTATTTCAAAAAAAAAACATCTTTTGCTAAACAAATAATTGATAACTTTTTATGAAACAATAATATATTTTTATCGTAATGTTGTATGCTAGCACATTTTTTACTTATTTATTATCTTTTTTTAACCCCAATCATCATCATGATTATTATCATCAAGATCATTATCATCATCATTATCATCATTATCATTGTCATCATTAATATTGATTCATTATCATCATTAATAGTGATTCATTATTATCATCATCATCATCACCATTACCATCATCATCATCATCATCATCATCATCATCATCATCATCATTATCATCACCATCATCATCATCATCATCATCATCATCATCATCATCATCATCATCATCATCATCATCATCATCATCATCATCATCATCATCATCATCATCATCAACATCATCATCAAATTCACCATCATCATCATCGTTATCATCATCAGGATCATGATAACAATCATGATTATGATATGAATGATTTAGAATGTGAAACAATAATAAAAGGCTTTTTTTAACAAATTTCTGATGTTTTTACTAGCGGTTACCATTATTAAACACATTTATATGTTTATTTTTATTATATATGTACTTCTATGCATTACTAAAAATACATTTATATAATAATTAAAATTATATCAATGGTTTTAAATATTTATTTATTTTGTCTTTGTTGTAAAAAAAAGAAATATCGTAAAGTAAAGTACATAAAAAGTATAATCAATATCTTTATATAACATTTTGTAAATATTTTTTAAAAGTCTCCCACAAATATTTGTTTTTCTATTTCAAAAACAAAATGTGTCAAAAATATAACTCTATTTCATTAAATTATACAATTAAACTTGTAAATAATAATGTACAAACAATTTGTATCAATTTCCATAGATACTGTAACATTTAACAAAAATGAATCTTACTCAAATAACCTTTATTGATAAAAAAAATGCAAATATATATTTGGGAAAATTTTAGTATAAGCTCAAGTCAATATTTTAATAAACACAGAACTAAATTTTTAAAAAAACTAATCCAAAACAAGTTTTAATATTTACTCAAAACTCTTTATAGAACACGTTTGCAATAAATGGAAAAACAACCTCCATAAAAATAAAAAATCATTTTTTATGTGTATAAAAAAAACATTTTTAAATAATAAAAATTTGATAAGTTAAATTATTAGGTTTATATTTTCCTTTTTTTTTTTTTTATAGTTTATTTGATTTTTATAGTTTATGCTGTGAAATTATATATATATATATATATATATATATATATATATATATATATATATATATATATATATATATATATATATATATATATATATATATATATATTTACAGTATATTAATATATATATATATATATATATATATATATATATATATATATATATATATATATATATATATATATATATATATATATATATATATATATATATATATATATTAATATACTGTAAAAATTTCAAAACTTGAATTTAATTAAAACATATTGTAAATAAAAGTGTATAAAAAAATATATAAAGCCTTAAATCTTCGATGTAAAAATATTTAATTGATAAAAAAAAACATTAAATGGCAGGATAATTTTATAAAACATTTTTCAGTAGAAAAATGCTGCTTCTTTTACCTTTAAGAGTCCATCAGTGAATTGGTATTTAAGTGCAGGAGCTAAAGTAAAGCTTTTTGCTCCTCCAGTAACAGATATCAATAACCTTGGCTGCTCTAACTGCCAAACATCAACAAGAAGTTTAAAAATATCAGCTGGATTTGTGTTTACATCTAATCTTGCAAACTAAAAAAGTTATAAATAGTTATGCAAAATTCACAAATGGCTGTATTATAGTAATCTACATTTAACAATACACCATCAGTGTATAAAACATTTTTCAACTTATATGAATAAACTTTTAACTCTTAAATACCTTAGCGATTGCTCTCCTTGTAGCACCTTTGAATAAAACTTGCCCAAAGGAATTTGTTTTAACTAGAAATTTGTTTTCATCTAGTATTTTTATGTGCTTTGATATCCATTTATCAATTTGGTTTGTTGGTTGAATATTCATTTGTGTGTTATTATTTACATTTATATTAATATCAGCCATGGCTGATCATAGATTAGTATTTATTAGTACAGATAAGTTTCTTAAAAATTATAAAATCAAATTAAATTTAAATGTACAAAAATATGTTACGTATTTCGCCCTATTCATTTTGTCACGAGATCACACAAATGTACACATGTACACAAATATCAATTTTAAAAAATGAGAAATCCGAGCCGATTTTTTCATTGGCTAATAAAAACGATTAAGTTCTAAGAATTGCACGTTTTTAAGGCGTCATCTCTTTAGTAGAAATACGGAAACAGTCTAAGAGTATTTATCAGCGAGTCGTTGTACGCATATATATATATATATATATATATATATATATATATATATATATATATATATATATATATATATATATATATATATATATATATATATATATATATATATATATATATATATATATATATATACGGAAAAAAACACATACTGAAACTTTTTAGTCCCTGTGTAATAAGTCCCTGTGTAATAAGTTATTTGTCATAATTGTAACAAATAAATTTGCAATAATTGTAACAAATAAATAAACATAAAAACATCACTGATATAAAAAAAAAAAAAAAAAAAAATTCATCTGTGATGACTAATTTAACACCAGCTCAATTAAAGCAAGTCGAGGACGCAATTAAAAAACTTATTCATGCTGAAACTGCGAAATGGTCGGCCAAAATATCTGAACTAGAACAAGTAATAAAGCAACAACAATTAATAATAGATAAGCTAATCCAAAATCCTAATGAGCTAACTAATACCACAACCAGTAGTATCGAATCCAGCTGGGTTACAGTTGCAAGCAAAAACATAAAAAAAAAGCAGCCTATTGAACAACTAAAAATTATCAACACATTTGCGATTGAGCAACAGCAAAAAAAGAAGCGTGAAAAAAATGTTATTATTTATGGCATTAAAGAATCTGCAAAGTTATCAGTTGCTGATAAGCATATCGACGATAAGGAAACGGTTCAGAATATCTTAGTTACTATTTCATCTGATGCAAGACCAAAATCTGTCAAACGTATTAAATCTACGTCCTCTAAACCAGGACCAATTATCGTCGAACTTTCTGATGTCTCCGAAAGAAACCCATTATTAACAGCAGCAAAAAAATTGAAAAATTCAGATAATTATAAAAATATTTTTATAAGCCCAGATTTGACTGAGGCTGAAAGATATTTAAACTATCAGTTAAGAATGAAGCGTAATGAATTAAATAGTAATATCAATTTAAAAACATCGCCCTTTAGATACGGTATACGAAGCAGCGGAGTCGTCAAACTCAAAAATATACAAACCACTACATAAACATTACTACCCTTCTTCCACTCTTTTACCAGCAAACTTAAAATACAAAAGTAAAAATCTTCATAACAAAAAAACAAACTATAGCGTTAATTGTTATTATACTAATGCTACATCTCTCGATAATAAAATGGCCGATTTAATTTCAATATCTAGAACGTTTGATTATCACGTTATTGCTATCTCTGAAACATGGTTTCGAAATGACTCAGTACCTAATATCGATGGGTATAGCCTATATCGTAAAGATCGTCAAGACGGACGTCGAGGTGGCGGTGTAGCTATCTACATTACAGACGTATTTAACTCTCATGAAGTTAACCAATTTTATACAAATCTTCTCGAACAAGTCTGGGTATCTGTAAAATTTAACAACAAACATATACTTATCGGTTGTATATACAGACCAAATGATGCCAGTTTAATAAAATATGTCGCTGAATCCTTCAAATTAGCTCATAGTTTAATTAAAAAGCCCTATGATGACTGTTTGATTGTCGGTGACTTTAACTTCCCGAATATAAAGTGGTCTAACGATGGTATTGAATCTTTTAACCCAAACAATCCTACCGAGTATGATTTCTGGAATATTTTCCAAAACAGCCTTTTTACTCAACATATCACATTTCCTACTTTCCAGACTGATTATGGTTCCTCAAATAATATGTTGGACTTGTTATTTACCTACAACAGTAATTCTATTTTAAACTTGTCTCCTAGTACTATACTAGGTAACACCACTAAGGGTCATTTTAGTATCACTTGGAGATTCTTAGTTTCAGAACTGTTTACCGAAAGTGAATCTCAATCGTTTAATTACAAAAAAGGTGATTACGATTCAATATCTAACTTTATTGCATCAATCGACTGGGAGTTTTTATTCCTGCATAAAACTGCAGATCAAATGTTCAATATACTAATTTCTAACTATCGCACTGCTTGCACATATTTTATTCCCAAGATTAATAAAACAAAAAAAAAGTATGATCCTTGGGTTACCCCACATATTAAAAACCTGATCCGAGAAAAAAAATCCGCTTGGCATATAAACTGCTCTACCAAATGGGAGAATAGTGAGCTTAAAATAAAATACAATTGCCTTAATCGTTCAGTAAAAACTGAAATATTTAAAGCAAAAAAAGCACAAGAAAAAGAAATAATATCAAAATCCCAAAACAACCCAAAAATCGTTTACAAATATATCAACAAACAACTAAAAATTAAAGATAGAATTCGCTCTCTCAAAGATACTTCAGGCAGAATTATTGAACCTCTTCCTGATATAGTTGATCTTCTGAACTCTCAATTTAAATCTATGTTTACACTTGAAAGCTCTGAAAATTTTCCCTTGCTAAATAAAAGTGGTATTCTTTCTGAATGCATTTATAATGAAAACTTGGATTTCTCTATCTCAGATATTATTCAGGAACTTGCCGATCTAAAGCCTTATAAATCCTTCGGATCTGACGGCTTGCATCCCTTAATACTCAAGATATGTGCCAAAAGCTTTGCAATTCCATTAACAAAAATCTTTCATAAATCCTTTAATTCTGGAGTAGTACCCACTCAATGGAAATTAGCAAATATTAGTCCGATCTATAAAAAAAAGGGAGATAAATTACTTGCTGAAAACTATAGACCTATTTCACTAACATCTGTTGCCTGTAAAATCTTTGAAAAACTTGTAAAGAAAAAAATTTTAAAGCACATTAACGATAATAAAATGCTCTCTGCAAATCAACATGGCTTCCTTTATCATAAATCATGCGTAACTAACCTAATAGAAACTTTTGATATCATTTCGTCCTCCATAGCATCTCACCAATTTATTGATGTAATCTATCTTGACTTTGCCAAAGCGTTTGACTCTGTACCTCACAACAGACTTTTGTTAAAATTAAGATCTTTCGAAATAAACGGCAAACTCCTACAATGGATTAAATCTTTTTTAGTGGGCAGAAAGCAACGCGTTACAATTAACAATACCAGCTCTGCATGGGTTGATGTTCTCAGTGGTGTTCCTCAAGGTTCTGTTCTCGGCCCGCTCCTCTTCATTCTCTACACAAATGATCTCGCAAAACTCACTGAACCTTCTGAGATATTTGCCGATGATACTAAACTTTTTTCTAAAACCTTATCGCAATCTAATTTTGTTGATCTGCAGGATCGTCTACGCTTGGTATACGAGTGGTCAAACACTTGGTTACTTAAGCTAAACACTTCAAAATGCTGCGTCATTCATTACGGTTGAAACAACCCCCATTACAATTACTTTCTTCAAAATAACCAAGGAATCAACCAATCTCTAAGAAGCTCTACTAAAGAACGTGATTTAGGAGTCATTTTTACATCTAACCTCAAGTGGAGCGCTCATATTCAAACAGTTGTCTCTAAGTCCTTACAAATTCTCGGTATGCTGAAAAAGACATTCACTTTCATTGATGAAAAAATGGCTCTCAAATTATATAAAGTATTTATAAGACCACATCTTGAATATGGAGTGTCCATTTGGGCTCCTTTTTTAAAAGCTGATATGGCTTTGGTTGAATCTGTTCAACGCAAAGCTACAAAATGGGCTTACAGCTTGAGGCATCTTCAATACTGCGAAAGGCTAAAAAGATTAAACCTACCATCACTTGAGTTTCGACGCCTTCGATGCGATTTAATCCAAATTTTCAAATTAATACATCGTTTTGATATAGTTAATGATAAATATCTACCAAAATATATTAACTCCGTGTCTCGTGGTCACCATTCTAAAATAAGGCGTGAGTATGTTCTAAACTGTCTTCCAAGATATAATCATTTGTATAATAGATCAGCAAAATACTGGAACAATCTACCAGAGCAAATAACTTTGTACTCCACTGTACTTTCTTTCAAAAATAGACTAGACTCCTGGTTGTGGAAAAAGTTTGGAACAAATATTTATAAAACTGGTTGTTTATAGTGGGGTGTTTCCCCTGCTCGCTGTATGTGTACATTCTATGTAAATTTACGGCTACAACTATAATAATAATAATAATAATAATAATAATAATAATATATATATATATATATATATATATATATATATATATATATATATATATATATATATATATATATATATATATATATATATATATATATATATATACAATGCTTTTAATCATAAAAATGTCGAAGCGAATGACTGGGAGGGCAAGATTTTGTTTCCCACCACCAGAAGCGATACCAAACCGATACCATACCTCCCACCCACCTCCGCGATACCAAACCTTAATCCGCCACGCAGTGGCGGATTAAGGTTTGGTATCGCGGAGGTGAGGGGAGGGGGCAAGTCAATGAGTAGGGGGCGACCGGGGTTAGGTGTGGTATTTTAAACCCCAGAAATTATTTTCATGACTAAAACACTTTATAAGTGTTTTTATGTGACTTTTATTATACATATTACATACATATAAGACACTAAATAACCTAACTTTTTTTGAGTTTCTTTTGATTATTTTAGTTAACAATTATCTTTTAAAAAATAAGAGGCATTTAAAACTACTGAAATAGTTCTATCATTTAAAAATGTATTAACCTAAACATATTGTAAAGGTTAGCATTTAGAAAAAAAATTCACTTTTCAGGTAGTTTACACAAATTCTGCGAGATTTCATTGAAGCAAAACGATTTATCGACATGTCAAAGTCAATGTTTTCAGTAAGCTCACGTCCAATAGAAATTAATGCTGATCCAGAAAGTCATTGTTGATCTAAAATAATTTTTTGTAATCTTTAGTTCACTGAAACTTTTTTCAGAATTAGCAGATGTAACAGGAAGAGTCAAGTAGATTT